GCGCTCCCATTTTCGTCTCCTCTTTCCCGAGTTATGATCTCTAGAAGTCATCGCTATTATTTTGTCCGAGGACTTATGACTCAACCTAATACATATGTATACGTATGCTCTACATTTGGTTATCTTGAATTCCAAAATGGACCTGCTGCTCTAATCGGTAATGCACTTACGAACAAACACTTGGAGCTGTGAAAGTCCGCCACGTCTTGTAGTAACAATGGGGAAGATTGATGCTGACGCTCCGACGGTTTAAGAATAGTTTGGCAATCTCATGAAGTAGAGATGTTGGGAGCGAAATGACTGCTCGTCCTGAAGAATAAGCGAATGAGTTACACCACTGCTTGAAAGTCATATACCAAGGTAAGCGAAAGTGGATATCTTGCACTTAGCTACCCAGAAATATGAGATATGATCAAAAAGGACATTTAGTTTCGGCAAAAACAGTCAGAATGAAGTGGTTTCTCATATTGCAGCAGAACGAGGCTCTTGTGGGGGCTTAGGGCCTGCTAAGGTTTACTATGGCAACTTCGCACACAGCTTTTAACGAGTGCAACGCTACTCTTCTTGCAATTTAAGAATGCCAGCGAAGGTGTTACTTTCCGCAAAGTGGAACTTTATACCAAAAGATTGGTGCGGGAGCTGGTCCGAACATTGTTCAAAGCTCGCCTTCAGTCGGCCGCACACCGACCAACAGGAACGGTCATATCCGTGCCGGGTAACACAACGGCCATAGAATGACACTCTGTGATGTTGAACCCTTGAAAAAGTATAGAAATCAATCCGATCATAGGGATGCACACACGTATTCCACTTCCATTCAGAATCGTATGGCCTATACAATGAATTGCGGTGGTCAGCCGATGCACAAGTCAGTGCTTTTATACTCTCAGACAAGTCTAGGTGCCAATTAGCCGACCTTGGAGGGATGGAAGGCATGGTTAACCTGAAAGGCAGACGATCCCAGATGCGAGCATGTGACCATGCGCATGTGGTAATGCACCAACTGCCAATATAGCAGCTCTGATATGAGGGTAGCGTTATCGTTTCTGTTTATCCTGATCATTTCGAAAGCACTGNTTTTTTTCCGGAATTTTTTTCCAGCATTTTTTCCGCGGAAGGATCAGTGCTTAATTATATAATCTCGGATTTACTAGAGTTGTCTGGAATTACCTCCTTTGATCATGAATTCCAGAAATATTCACTTCAAGCTAATCCTGCTAATTATTGCGTTAAGGTTTAATGCATAATCCTATAGTTTTTGAGTTATTTCCGAGTTTGAACGGAGTGTTGCAAGTTATTTCTATTATTGTACCACGAAACTGGGCAAGAAATTTTTTGGAACAAGCGACCCCCACTAATATTATCGTCAAATTTCGGCATGGTGTTCACCATATGCAAACGAATGCTAAAGGCCAGATGGTTGGATCAAAGGCTGTGGCTTTCGCCTCCAAGAACGCACTGTTATCGTCGCTGTCAAAATAACCATGACACTGTCACTTATCTACCTTCCTTTCCCTGTTATCCCCGAATCTGGATATTTGCTCCACACTGAATGGAAAATTAACGGAACCAATGGTTCTATACCTGCCTTTGTGGGAGTCTGTTGTTTGCTGCTTTTACTGCTCATTCGGCTGTTCCTAGTACTACCCTGACAGCTCAGGAGACATTCTGCATTAGCTGCCCACGGCGATCGCAGTATGATCAAGCAAATCTCGTCTGAGGGTCCATCCTGATCAAAGCGTTAAAGTTGGTTTTCTCATGAGAGAGGCCTTACCAGACCTGCTTGCCCTATTGATAGGCAAAGTTCGAAGATGCCGAGAGAATAGGCTCGCTTGATCTCGAGCAAAGACTTGGCCCACCCCTTTCGGTAGAGATGATTTAGTGGGCATGGCCAAGGGAATGCTGATCAAGTACCTGAAATAGCGTCAACATGAACTAATCATTCCTGAAATATTGAACTTTGAACAGCTGGAAGGTTGACCATACCACACCTACACCTTTGTACTCGACATGGTTTGAATCTGATTCAGATTCGGGCCTCGTACGGGAGTTGCGGTCCCGACGATCCGTGCGCCGTAATTCACTTTGACTCATCGCCCGATCTCATCATATTCAGATTCAGGTCTGAATTGACCCTTACTGAAGACATCCACAAAGGTGGGCGCCACCGCCGCAGCCACAGTTGCGCCGTATCGCGCACATGTTTAATAAACGAGTTCGTCATGGGCCAAATACACTTGACTTTTCAATCTTCAGCATTCCATTAGAGGAAATGGATTCCAATGCAGTACCTAAGTATCGTGTCGGAGCAATGATTTTCCGCCTGAAATGCTTCCCTGCAGAGGAAAATGAGAAGAAGAAGGGCATGTAGGCTAAGATAAAGAGGGAAGAGTTGCTATCGCCTCTGGAAAATCTTTCAATGATCATTTATAGTCAGTCTTCGGTAGCTCACACTTTCCTTTTTTGTAGAACTTGACTTTTTTTTCAGGTTTTTTGTGGATGTTCCGATGAAAAGTACCAGTCTTAATTACAGTCTTGTCACAGTAATAGGAATCCCTGAAAGAGTATGGGGCCGTCTAGGTGTTTCCATTCCACAGTGATATGGAACACCGCAGAGTGTGGGAAGTGGACCTAGGAGTACGAATAGGTGATTCCTTTTGCTGTTCTTAGGCACTCGTTTCCAAAAGCAGCTAGGGAAACGCTTAAAAGCAATTATGGCTCAGTTGTTCAATGCGCCGTTCTATACAAAAACAGTAATTCGATCAAATCCTTTTCAGTGAACCTGAAAATCTTATTTCCGGTCACTTGGCTGACAAACATTACATTTATAGCTTGAAACAAACAAAGATGATTGACCAAAAGCAAATAAAACTGCTAAGCCTCTGTTCTTTGAGACCTATTATTACTTTGAAGGTTACCTGGTGGGCTGACGGGTAAGGGTAAGTCGTCAAAGTTCACGAATTCAATTACCACGGAGTATAAGTAAACATAGAATCAAGTATTCCGAGGGGGGAAACGTGGTACTTGGCCGATTGACCGAGTCCCCTTTTTCAGCTTTTCAAGAGGGGGGAGGTTTTCTTTAGCAGCCATTCGGCCGTCACCTGAAACCATCTACTGCAACAATTTGTTTTCTGCTCGGCTAAGTGGCCGTGGCGCTGCGTGTCTGGCCAGCCGTCATGAGCGTCGGACATCTGCGCCCTCCGTGTACGATCACCCAAGTGCACATCCATGCAGCGCACCCTCTCATCGTCTGCGCTCCACCTTGTGACATCAACCGACGAGAGCCCTCCCGTATGACGGAATTCGGCCTTTCTGCTGAAATTCCGCCATTTCCTGGGCGATCGATGAATGTAGTGGCTAGTGGAAAAGTGCGGATTTCGATCGGTTATGCTTGATTGTGCCATGTTTTCGCGGTGGTTAGCACTATGATGATTTCGTTCCTAATGGCCTCCGCCCCCCTCTCCGTCGGTCTCCCACTACCGCTCGTTCGTTGCACTATGATGAGCCCTTTCGATTTTCACGCTATCGATCGTTGATTCGTCTTTTGTTTGATTAGCGGCGTTTCCAGTTTATTGAACACGCGAGACTAGTGTCTCTCTCTGCTCGTGTGTGTTTGTGACCGGCGGCGGTAGGTCTTTCGAAAAATTCACCCAACCACAAACCCCCTAGCGCACAAACCGCAATCACTTCACGCCGTTCACGATGCCACCGTAATCTTTCGATCGTATCGGGACTGTCAAGGTAGATATGTCACACAGAAACGGCATCTATGACGTTCTACTTCTGCTGGCCAGATTAATCGTTTATTTTTCAAAATTGATTCCAAACGTTCTTAAATTTTTCAATTTTTCTCAATTGTTTGAACATTTTCTCTGTTGCTGACCGCAGCGCGTCACGCCCGCGGCCATGCCTTACATCACACATAAATACTAACTTTTAATTTCTCTACAGAGAACATCACAACCAAAGTTTTGTTGATTTTTTTTATAATCGTGCTAACTTTTTCTATTTCTTAGCTCTTTCCACCCATTAAGGTTAGTATTTCATAGAGAATTTGCCGTCTGGTAGTTCGCCGTTACCGTTTCCACAATAACATCTTGGTGGTCAATTCATTTGAGCCCTTCTGTTCCTACCGTAACCCGCTCTAGACAGCATATTTTCTATTATTACTATCGAGTCGCCGCAGAACGAGAACATGTGTTCCAGTCGGTCTTTATCGCCGTCAAATTCCCTGATTTCTGGCCATAAGGGCAGACTGCAATTGTTTGCATGGTTTTCTATTTCTATTGCATTGAAATTTGATCATTGACGTTCGAAATGGACGGTCCTGCACAGACCGCCAGGAAACGATTTTCATTGAATTGCTTCACTGCTCTATTTCCTTTTTTTTGTTCCTAACGCCCTCTGACGCCTCCTCCGTTGAACTTTTAGTTCATTTTTTGTAATTGACTTTATTTTTATCTGTTTTCGGTACTATTCCTTTAGTGCTGCTTTGTTTTTGAGAAGATTCTTTCAGTCGAATCAAGGTATGGCATGAAATGGGAGAGGGGTAAAGGGTCGAAAGGGAAGGGGAATAATTTTAGTAAAATCAATTGATTTAGAAAAAGGGAATGAAGGTCTAATGAATTTAGAGGGAACATTTTTGGAAATTTCATGATTCATATGATTCTCTTTTTGTTGAAGGTACAGTTTACTATGAAAATATTTCTGAGATGTCTGAGACTTCTCCTTGGGATAAACCAGTAACCCAGAAGTATAGCGCAAAGAGCGCTGTTGGGCTGAAAACTTCTTAGATAGGGCGTGACAAGAGCCCCGGAACCGACTTAGCCGACGTGCACACCCAAAGGTGGACGAGTTTTCACGGCAATGCAAAGGATGAACAGGTTGCCCTTCTTGTACTGGAGGGCATACTTTGCACATAGGTGTCCACAATGGCACACACATTTGAACAAACATCTCCTCCATGCATCTTTTATCGTCACTTTCCCATCCAATTCCTGAATTTATTTGAAATCTTATGTATCTATAGCGATTCTCGCCTTTTCTTCGCCACTATTGCACGAATCTGGGCTATCAATCAGAACTTTTTTGATGTTTTTTCAAAATCATCAATTAGAATTCTCACAGTTGAATTTTACGGTTATTTTTACACGTTTGTACAGTGGTTAGATGCTTTGTCCTTTGTTTACATGATCGCTTGTACGACTCCTCGCTCGCACTGAACAAACTAACCTCTATGGCCGAGAACGAACTAACGCTACATCGCCATCCAATCAGTTTAATTGAACTCCCATGCAATGAAAGTCGGTCGATCGAAAAGATGAAATGTTTTCGGGGGATGCGCCATGCACCAAACACCCTTTCACAAAAGTAGTGTATGGTACCATTCACATCTAAGGATTAAGTAGGGCACGTCTGGAACAAATGGTCAGAACGATTTCCAGGTTTATTGTGACTCTTTGTGCAACTTGAGCAGGTGATTTATGATGACTCAGTACCTCCTGATTTAGCTAAAGCTCTCGATCAAAAAGCAGGATGTTAGATTGGAAAGAAGTACTAATCTCATTCCCACAGTCGAGCTTCAGCAGACGTTTTCCTTTCCTTTGGAGGAGCTCTCAGAACCTAAAAAGAAGCCTCTTTTCCTCAACCTGAGAGGGACAACAAATCAGTACAGTCTGGACGAGATTTGGACTATAACTGTACAGGTGACAGCTCCTCTGCCCTTTGACCTGCTCCCAACCCTAAAAAAGCGGTGTTGCTGGAGGAGACAGCGAACCACAAAGGTCAACATAATCTACCCATTAAGAGGGATTATCTCAACGATTAGGATAAGACTCGAGAATCTCACGTTGATGAACTGTGATCGTTTCCCGTTCTGAAGGTTAGATGCATCTTCGCCTTTTAATAGGCGGTGTGACTTTTTGAGAAAAAAAAAGCTGAAGAAAGAAAGATCTTAAAAAAAGGAACCAGTTGAAGTCGGGGTTCTGTTCATAAAAAGTCTAGGGAGAAGTTTTGCACTTTCTTCGCTCGTTTTGGAGTACTCTCTGCTCACTTTTGTTCAGAATTTCATAATTCTCTGTATGATTGGCTCTTTATAACTGTCTAGATTATAAGTTAGTTGTCCTTCTACGCCAAACATCGATTGTGAGCCTTTGACGAGGCTCGGTGTAAGCGTCTTAGAGTTTTTCCCAAGATGAATCTGTCTTTTGGGCACATTCTGGAACTTTTCAAAGCTTGGATTGGAGCGAACTTACAATCAGATTATTTGAAAAACAACAGATACAAAGGGATGCCCCAGAATAACTCAACATAATTTCGTAAAACTTTGATCTTCAAAATTTTTCAGTCCCGCTTAGGACTTTCTTGAAAAAACCCACGGAAACCCATAGTCCAATGGGGACTCCCCTCATATACCCAACTCACTGATGGAAGTAGTGATCGTTGTTGAGAGGGAAAGAGGACAGGCTAGAAAAAAAGGAAAAAAAAACGGAAATTCCCGAATGACGACTCAATTCATCATCTTACGTGTTTAAGAACTTAGCTTTTTATGCTTGACCACTGCCAAACCCCATTTTCAACCACTGCGGTATACGCCATGTTTTCAACAATTGTCTGAAATCACGTTAGTGACTGAATGGGCAAATCGCTACCATATTGAGCCCTTGCTGCCAGTTTTACATGCCTTTTTTGCAAATATCTCGGAAAACCTTGAAGACGTAAGATCTATGGAAAAAAGATGTTGTACTTTTCGCAATAACCACTAATGGAAAAAGAAAAAAAAACGAAAAAAACATCATCGGCATTTTTTTCGTTCGTTTTCTGATCATCTAATGTTCGTTCTGGAAAAGGGACTGCGCTGGTATTCCATCTTACTCGGTGAAGCCTCGAAAAAAAAAA